GTGTCTCTTGAAAATCCTATTCAACACGTAAAGAGTCGAGGGGAGTCCAAATGTACACCATATGTGCACGTGCAAACTAGTTTTGGGCTATTTACTGTGTTTTGATTCCCACCAGTTTTTTCTTGTTTTGGTGTTTCTTTTTCACCATTTTACCGGTTTTTTTAATTATTTTTATTCTAAAAATTTAAATCTTTTTAAAATTTACAATTTGCAAACCTTTTTTGGAATCCAAACTTTAGAAACTGGAAAATATATTTTAAGTTCATGGATATTAAAAAATATAATGAACATTTTTTGAAATCTTGGAGTATCGGTCAAATTCATAAATATTTTCTTGCAATTCGGGACTTTTTTAAATTCATGAACATTATTTGAATTTGGGATCACTTTTTAAGTTTGTGAACATTTTTTAGATTTATGACATTTTAAGTTTTCTTGTGTTTTTTATTGATGGCATTTTAAATTTCTTGAACATTTTTTGAGAAAATGAAAGTATTTTAATTGGAAACCAGCCAAAATAAAAACACTACGTGAGAAGACCGATGAAAAACAACTAAGGGTATGTATCTATTGTACCCTCGCTATCCTTATTGGGTTGCCTGCGTTAGCGCCGGGGTGCGCTTCGAACGCGTATGGCGTGGAATAGGACCTCACAATGCCTCCTCCCCTCCTTCCATGTGTGTTGTCATCTCGCCGAACCTCTTCTTCCACACCTGCTCTGCTAATGCCTTTGGCTCTCCTCTCCCTTGCACGTCGCTGTTAAAATGTTAATCATATATCTAGAAATGTTAAATATGTATATATAAAATGTTTCTGATGTATAGTACTCCCTCCATTCCCTTATACAAGGCCACTATGAAAAATACATTTTGCATCTATACAAGGCCACTAACAGTAATCAAGGCAAACATTAATGATGTTTTCGCGTACTACCAACTTTTTTAATACTTGCATTCATGTAGTCATAATGACAGTGTGCTACTTCCTTCTCTTTTCTTCCTTGCATGCATGCAAGCGTATTAATGATCCCGTTTAACGAAAGAGAAGTTGGCTTTCAAAGCAATCATTAAATTTTACCTTGGTACCTGTAATTTGAGTTAGTGGCCTTGTATAAGGGAATGGAGGGAGTACAATGTTTAAGTTAGAAGTAGACATAAAAAATACATGTTTTAAAAATTGTTAATCATGGATAACCCAAAATGTTAAAGTAGTATGTAAAAATTATTCCCATCTATAAAAAAGTGCAATGTATATGGAAAAATTAAACATCAAAAAGTTTTTTTTCAAAAATGTAAATGCTGTGTTTGCAGAATATTAAATGTGTCCATAAAAGATGTTCTTGATGTATACAAAAAGTTACAAATAAAAATATAGAAAACCAATAAAAGCCGAGAAATGAAAAACAAAGAAACAAGTAGAAAAGCAAAAAACAGTGAAAACAAGAAAGAAAAATGAAGGAAAAAATCAGTAAGAGCCGTGAAAGAAATAAAGAAAAATCATGAAAAAACAAAGAAAAGCCAAAAAAACAAAGAAAATAAAAAAGAAAACAGAAAGAAAAAGTCAGAAACGACCGTAAGAAAAATGAACCAAACCAGTACATCGAGCGAGGAGCATCAGATCGATCCCGAGCGAGTGATCGAGGAGAAGAAAGGGTCGGCCCAATACCTACACGAGGGAGAAAAATCTTTAGGCATGGGGAGCAGGTACCCCACAAGGGAGAAAAATGTACAATCTTTATATGAGAGGGCAATTTTTTGTAAATACATCAAAATGGTAGGGGTAGGGGGCGTGGTATCAATGAACGCAGTCGAACTGGCAGCTACTCGGGAAGAGTTTCGCCTCTCGCATGTGAAAAAACTGCAGTTGCGGGTCGAAATCCAGATGCAAGCAAGCCTGTTTGGTTAGGCTGCCGACTTCAAAGCGTTGAAAAGCTTGCAAGAAGCCCAACCAAATGCCCTCTAAGACGTGACAGCTGCATGCGGTTGGGAATGTCTATGTTTCGATCTTTCCACGCGTTCTTGTCGGACTCTGCCGCCGGCAGGCGTTGCCGACGAGCTTCACGGCATACGGTGCCCTACCGGAATCCTGGAGAGATTCAAAATTTCAGGTTCGAGATGAAATGAATCTGGATATTTGGCCATAGCACATGGTTTACCTGAAACACAGACTCCAGCAACATCATGGAAGATCGCTTGGTACTACTGGATCTCATTCATTTGCTTGTCATGGTCGCTGTTAACGATTGTACTCCCTTCGTTCCTAAATATAAGATTTTTTAGAGATTTCAATATGGGCTACGTTCAGAGCAAAATGAGTGAATTTACACTCTAAAATATGTCTATGTAGACCCATATTGAAATCTCTCAAATAATTTGCATATAGAAATGGAGGGAGCATGTATGGATGCTTGCTGCTACAGACTCTTGCAGATGCCGCCGCAAAGTTCAAAGAAGCATTATCTATTGAATTCATGCTTTTGCCAATTGCTCCAAAAATCCAAATCTATTGAGAGAGACAGACAATATATTTCAACACTGTCTACATGGTGTTTTACAGTAGAGGGGGCAGAAATTATCAAAAATGCTAGACATACAAAGACTTACCCGCTTTTACACGCTCCTTTCATCTAACAACCAATCAC